GACTTGTACCTTTGGAGGAGATCCTGATGGTGAAATATTCTAGCTGTTCCAACCCATCCCAGGTCATTCTGCCTCCCTTCCCCAGACACCTCTCCCTGGCAGACTTTGATCCTTTGTCAGACTTTTCGACCTGTACATTTTAGCCTGCCTCCCTTGATCATCCTTTGTGCCCCATGCAACTACCACTACCCCTCAATATGAATTAAGGTATAGCACGTATGAACACTCTACAAAGATGGCAAAGCAGAAACTGCTCAGTCCAAAATCTAGGCAGATAATTATCTCACCTGGTACATGCTACTTAATCTGGAAGTATGTATTACTGGCTATGGAAACTTATTTGGGAAGGTAGCTTCTCCATCACCAATCCTTCTTTCTGGTATTAATCTAGACCACTGACAGTTATGAAAACCAAAAGAACTGCGGATGCTGTAAATCAGGAACAAAAACAAAGTTGCTGGAAAAGCTCAGCAGGTGCGGCAGCATCTGTGAAGGAGAAAACAGAGTTAACGTTTCGGGTCCAGTGACCCTTCCTACGAACTCATACTGTTACGATCCTGGCTGATGATAATACTAGACAAGTCAGATCCCAGAATGAAACATGGCTTGATAGATCATGTGTTTAATTTTTGCAGTTAATTACCATTGTGATTCATCTCCGAACATATAATACAAGACTGAAAATGTCTCCTACAACAGAAAATAAGTCTATTACACAAAACAAAAAAAAAACTAAACAAAGCTCTATCCATAAGACTGTTTAGAAAGATCTTAACATAAACAGCAAATCAAAGTTTCAACCTCTTTACAATCAATATCAATCAAATCTGCTCCTATCTCAAATCTTTATTTTCTTTCTTTTTTCATGAACTGTCGAGACAGTTTAACAATTTCTTTCCAAATTTACCAGCATGAATCTTTTTTACTGAACTTTGTTTCAGTTTGGATAGCTGGAACACTTCTAAATAGTCTCACAACCTGGATGCTTTAGGTCTAAACCCATGACTTCTAGAGTGATAAGTTCCCATGAATTGAAACCTTGAATCTTCTAATCTGAACTCAAAGCAAGCCCAAATCTAGTTCTCTGCTTGTCATAAACCCAACAGTATAAGCATTGTATCTATTAACACCACAAGCATCTGGCCAAACGCTCATCCTGTAATACTACAAGGGTCTGGCCAAACGCTCATCCTGTAACACCGCAAGGATCTGGCTAAACGCTCATCCTGTAACACCACAAGGGTCTGGCCAAATACTTTTTGAAAGTCACATGCTTCTTGGAATGATGTATTCAGGTCACTGTTCAAATTACATCTAGCCTTCATAGAATTGACAAAAATCCATCTGTCTCTATATTTTAAAATCCAATTGCCAAATACATGGTTTAATCACAATACCATGTGTAGAAATTTGGCCCACAATGTCTTAGGCAGACGTTACACTCAATATTACTTAACAGCAAATAGATTTATTACATATTACTTAATACACTACTGTCAGAGGTATTTGATCTTTTCTTGTGAGACAGCAGATTCAACTTAAGAATAAGTACACATTTCTGCTTTAGTTATATTTTACTAATTCTAAAACTAATCAATGAAACATTGGTTAGCTTCTCCCAGGAATCCTGATGGACAGAGCTTATCTTGTGATGTCAGTTAATCCTTTCAGCTACTAAGTGTCTTGTACAACAATGGGAATGTGTGACATGCAAACACATGCAAACTTTTATCCAGCTGCTGGGAATCTAACTTTTGGCTTCATGCAGTTGAATTCCTTCACCTGCATTGTCTCCTTCTCTTAGCAGCAGCACAAGATTCCACCCATTGGGAGAGATTGAGTATGCGTCTCTTGCTGGCTCCATGTTACCCGAAGTCAACATTGTGTGTCTTTTAATGTACTGTGGAGTAATGTTAATGTGCGTGGAATGTAGGGATTAAAGGTAGAATTGGTAATGTATCTAGGTGAACAATTAATTATTGTACACAAGCTGAAATGGTGTTGCTTACCGCTTTGTATGCCTACTCTGATACTTCAACTGAAAATGGGAAATTTGTGAACGAGAAGTAGAACTGAAAACTCCTCAAGAAGCAAGACTTTTTAACTTGGCAGTAGCAATCACTGCCAGTCCTTATGTGGAGTCTCATATGTCACATATAAACAGTTATAAATCAAGGTACCCACTTCTCTAATGTAAATCATTAACATACAGTGATTAGAAGACAAATTTGACAACTCATGGAAAAGGTTTTTATATTTTATATTTAACATACTTTAAGGTTGATGGGTGATATCTGTAATTGTCATGAATTTTCTGTCTCATTTTAACAAAGACAAATAGAAGGACAATCATGCAAATGCATTCATTACTATGTTAGCCCAAAATTCCAGTTGATCTCTTCACATTATCTTATTCAATATATTTCAAAATACTTTGTACTATTCATTTTGCAGGTTGGATCTATGTATAAAGATAAACGAATTGCATTGTTAATAAATTACTCAATTTTACGTCAATCCTTTCTAAACTTTATAATCCCCACGTCTTGTATCAACATAGATTTTTGAACTGATTCCCGAGGATGTTTTTGTCCTGCTAATTTTTAAAAAAAAATTCATTTCTGGGATGTGGGCATCGCTGGCTGGCCAGTATTTATTGTCCATCCCTAGTTGCCCTTGAGAAGGTGGTGGTGAGCTGCCTTCTTAAACCACCTGCTGTGGGTTGACCCACAATGCCATTCCGGAGGGAATTCGGGATTTTCATCAGCGACAGTGAAGGAATGGTGATTATATTTCCAAGTCAGGATGGTGAGTAGCTTGAGGCAAACTTGAAGGTAGTGGTGTTCCCACATAGCTAGTGCCCTTGTACTTCTAGAAGGAAGTGGTTGTGGGCTTGGAAGGTGCTCTCTGTGGATCTTTGGTGAATTTCTGCAGTGTATCTTGTAGAAAGTACACACTGCTGCTACTGAGCTCCGGTGTTAGAGGGAGTAGATGTAGTGTCAATCAAGTGGGCTGCTTTGTCCTGGATGGTGTCAAGCTTCTTGAGTGTTGTTGGGGCTGCACTCATCCAGGCAAGTGGGGAATATTCCATCACACTCCGTGCGTTATAGATGCTGGACAGGCTTTGAGCAGTCAGGATGTGAGTTACTCACTGCAGTATTCCTAGCATTATTGCATTATTTTTGTTGCAACTTGGAACCCTATTTAAATCAAACCTGATCAATTACTTGGCCCTACTTAGAGTGCTCACAACAATGATCCACAAATAAACATATCAACGAATCCTGTTAAAACTTTAAACATATGTCATATCAACAATATACAAACAAGGAAATAGAATAGGCCACTCTGTCCATCTAGACTACTTCATTCAATAAGACCATGGCTGATCTGATCTGACTTTAACCTCAACTCTATATTCCTGCATATCCCCGATAATCTTTCATTCAATTGGAAATCAAGATCTTGGTAATCTACCTCTGCCTTTAAAAATATTTAGATTCTGCATCCACAGCCTGTTGTCAAAGAGAATTCCAAAGACACTCAACCCTCAGAAAATATTTCCTCATCTCTGTCTTAAGTAGGCATCTCCTTATTTTAAAACTATGACCTCTAGTTCTAAATAATTATTGTTCCATTAATTATTCTTGCAAGTTTTACAATATCAGCACAGATTCACTGTACATTGTAAATGAGCCTACAATGATTTTGATACAATCTGAATAAAGCTGCACAGTCATTATTATGCCTCTTAGTTAAAATTAATATGGGTTATAATGGTCTCAAGCTCACCACTACTTAGTCATAGAATCATACAGCACAGAAGAGGCCCTTTGGCCCGTTGAGTCTGTACCAACCTATCTATAGTAATCCCACTTTCCTTTACTTTGCTCAAAGATTTGAGTGTAATGACATTTCAAGTGCTTATCCATGTACTTTAAAAGATTGTGAAATTTCCTGCCCTTACTACCCTCCCAGGCAGTGCATTCCAGATTACAACACCCTCTGGGTGAAATTATTTTTCTTCAAATCCCCCCTACACCACTTGCCCTTCATCTTAAAATTACTTCCCCTTGTTACTGACTTTGTAACCAAGGACAGCAGCTCCTTCCAATCTACCCTTGTCCATATCCCTTATTATCTCAATCAGGTCCCCATCAGCCTTCTCTGCTCTAAAGAAAACATTTGAACCTATCCAGCCTCACTGCTAAAATGGTCCAACCCAGGCAACATCTTGATGAATCTACTCTGCACCCTCTTCAGCACAATCACATGTTTCCTAAAGTGCGACAATCAGAACTGTACACAACACTCCAGCTTAACCAATCATTTGGACAGCTCCAACATAACTTCCCTGCTCTTGTATTCTACATCATGTCTGATAAAGGCAAGTGTCCTGTATGTCTTCCTAACCACTCTATTACTTGTCCTGATGCTTTAAGGAACCTGTGGACAAGCACCTGAAGATCCCTCTGTATCTCTGAGCTTCCTAGCTTCATCCCATTCATTGAGTACTCCCTTGTCTTATTTCACCTTTCAAAGTGCATCACCTCACACTTTCAGGGTTAAGTTCCATCTGACAAACCCATATATATTTTCCTATAACCCAAGACTTTCTCCCTCACTATTAACCACCTGGTCAATCTTTGTGTCGCCTGCAAACCTAGTTATCAAACTTACTTAGTACATTAACATTTAACCCATTTGTAGACTTTAATTCATTTAGTAATTTCATAGAGGATTAAGCCAATTTAATTAAATGAGTAAACATCATAGTTAATAATGAGGAACATTGTACATTGCTAATAAGTATTCATTAGCCTAAAAAGACAACAGTAATTTCAAGTTTCTTGTGTCACATAAATTGAAAATAATGCATTTTTAAAGTTCCATGCACAGGAAATCAACAATCATTTTATGTAACTGAATCATTGACCTTCCGACATGCTAGGGACCCCATTAAGTTCAAATCAGAAACAGATTGTGGAAATGTAAAGAGATCATCTTTGCACCATTGAACCAGCTTTACCTTGTCTAAGTAGTTGCAGGTTTCGCACTTCCTCGCGTACCTGCAGCTGAAGCACCTGCTGAAGTACCTCTTGTCTTTGCCCTTCTTGAACTATTCCCATTCTTTCCAGCTTTTCACCATTTAGCCTGAGTAATGCCCGACCTGAGAAGAGAACCAATTTCTAAAAAGTCTGGCATTTGCAGTTTACACAAAATTTTCACTTTATTTTTACATCCAGAATTTACTGTCTGCAGGAAATAAAGAAAATGAAGTATATAAGCTAGAAGCTGTTATGATTTTATGATACTTTTTATCTGCTTAATATTGACAATCAGTTAAGTACTGAAGAATCATGGGAATTCGGCAAAAAGCGATCAACTGATCGGTACAAAACTGTCTGACAAGAAAATACTATACTGTTAAATATATATATTAAGTAATTATTCAATAAATGGATAAAACCATCAAGATGTCATGAGTAATAGCTCTGGCATGAGCGAGTGATCTGTTGTGTTTCATTAGCTACTTATTCACTCAGACATACCGTCCTTGCCTTGCAGCATTTTAATCTCATAAAGAAGACAGGAATCAATTCAATTCAATTTCTTTCAGAATGACAGAACATGTCCTTGAGGTGACTTACACCAACATCTATATACTCCTGTCAATGCAAACCTGCTATTGATGAGCATATGCATAAAAATGAAACCATTTTAAGATACAAAGCTGTTCATGTATGTGGTTGTTGGTTGAATGTTCCATTATTTTATGCCACAAAAGAACTAACTATGTTTCAATTGATGCTTCAATTTCTCTTCAAATATCTCAAATTGCATATGAAATTAAATGAAATATTAGTATCTGTTAAAATGCCAAAAATACGCAGCATTTATGAAACTATCTGTGAACAGAGAAGCACAATTAATCTTTCAAGTCAAGGACTTTTCGTCAACATATCTGCTCTTATTTCAGATATTCTGCCTCCACAGTATTAATAACTGCTGAACTTCACAGACTTTATTTCCAATATTTTGAGAACAATTACATATGGAGTGTCACATTTTTGAAGGTAGTGAAAGCAAAGTGAAATAGTAATCCCAGGCTAGTTGTGGTTAAAAATAATCAGGGTAAAGGGGAGCCAAAAATCAGCTCCTTTGGCTGAGCTTGGCAAGAAATTCCTGTAAGTTATAAGTGGAGCAGCAGAATATCAATGTCAGAGACAATGCTGGGTTGGTATAACAGCTGCCTTATATTTTCGTTATGTTATTTCTCAGTGGACTTAGCTGTACTGAAAGCAGGATTGTATTCTAGCAAGGTTCAAAAGTGAAAAAAAATCTTTTAATCCAGAAGTGCTTATCAGATCCAGCAAAACAAAGTCACTTTAAATATATTTTGTAAAAAAAGCAAGAAAATTTTTCAATTGTATTAAACCATATATGGTTATATGCATATTATCATGAGAAATTTTCTGTTACAATTTGAATCTGCCAGTTTCAGTAGCATTAATTAATCTTTAAGAGATTCTGATTGTAGTACTTTTGTGGATTTTGAATCTACTTGTATGTTAGTATAACAAGGCTGTGCAGTATAACTATGCCAGTAGTACCTGCACTGTCACCTGGATGAGTTATCTATGTATCTTGTATGCATGCTTCAGTCTTTCTGAAGGCCAAAGAGCAAACAATTGGTGAGACCTAGATGTGACTGCAACTTTATTTCACAGTAAAATGAGCATACAGAATAGCAATAATGATCATATTTACTTAGTCATGGCGGTGCAATTTATCTTCAAAAAAACAAACGCACAGTGATTTCTCAGACCAATGGATCTTCCTACTTATCACAAACAGATGACAATTGAAAAATCTTCCAGTACTTCCAACTGCTTACTAAATTCCTAATCCCCATCTTGTCACTAGGGAGGAGGTGGCACTTGAAGATGGTAACGAACACAAAGAAAATAAAGATTCCCATTTACAAGCATCTTTCACAGCCTTAGGCAAACTGAAGCACTTTGGAAATGCAGCCACTGGTGTAGGAAACGAAGACATCGAATTTATCTACAAATAACTCTGCAAGCAGCAACATGATAATTTGTTTGTAGTGATGTTGGCTGAGGGATAAATATTGGTCAGGGCTTCAGGAATAACTAAAATATAAGCAAGTACTGTGAATGCTGGAAATCTGAAACAAAAAAGAAAATGCTGGAGAAACTCAACAGGTCTGGCAGCATCAGTTGAAAGAGAAACAGAGTAGATGGGTGGAATTTTCTGCTCACTTCAGCGGTATAGGCAATGGTAATAAACATGGGAAATGTAGCAATAATGAAAATAAAATCAGATTCTCAACATTGGGAATTTCTTTTCTAATATTTCTCATGATTTAAACAGGGAGTTCAGAATCTCACTAAGCAACATCTACCTCATTTGCATGCTTCTGCATCTTATTATTAGCTAAACATGCTTCATGTCTACACAACTCTCAATTCTCCTCTCCTCCAAGAAATTAAATGGTGCCCCAACTCCTAACATGAAGGTCAGAGTGGTTAATTGCCAACAACAGCTTGTGGCTTGCTTCTCCAGGCCCTCAGATTACTTGGCTTTCATCACAACATGCCTTCATGCTCTATGAACACTGACATCTACCACCCTTCATCCATGGAAGCGAGTGCTGCTAAAGCACAATCTCACCATATCATCAATGCTGCTTTTGAGCTAACTTGCCCACCTTTTCAGCCCTTCAGAGCTTCACCTTGGAGCACTGGCATGCTTACAAATTGATATTTATGCCAGGTTCCTTTGCACACAGGGGCACATTTGTTTCATGCAACTACAAAGGATGTATTTTATGGATCTAACCTTCCTTTCTTAGCACTCACTCATGTTATGCTTATTTGGAATTGCCAGCCTCTATGCCTTGCATATATGTAGAGGAGAGGCAGGATATCTATCATGCTTCAGAACGCTGAATAGTCAAATGAGTGGAGAGGCTGCTGGATAGCATCTTGTTATGTCGATATAACATCTGCAGGTTGAGCCAGCAGCTTATAAAGCAAACATTCTGCATGTGGTTCAGCCAAGTGACCAGATCTGAAAGCCAAAGGCGACTAGTTGTTATTGCTGTTAAGGAACACTACCATCTGTCAGTAGATGCTGCCACAGTCAGCTAAGGGGCTGGTCTGATTCTGTTCCAAAAATTGGTCCACGGTCAGTCCTGCAGGTCAAGTGCAACCAGTTTGGAGGTAAGCTGTGCACAATCAGGAAGGAGCGATCACATCCAGAATGAGATATAGCCTGAGTGTGTATACAGTTTGGGGGTAGCATGGGAATTCTGTGCAGAGGGGAAGAGGTGCTTTTCTTCTTACGTTTTTGGTTCATAGTTTGTAACTTTTTTAACAGGATAAATTGAAGCCCAGCATTGGCGCCCAGCACAAAACAGTTACATCACAGGTAAACAGTAAGTTCTTTAGCAATTGCTATCAATTTGACCAGCTATTTGAGATTACTTTCAAACTGAAGATAAATAGGGAAAATATTTACAGGTTACAAACTAAAAGAACGGTAGGAAATTAAAAAAAAAATGAACGTAAGAACTCAGTAACTAAAATAGAGATGCAGGGCCAGGTGGTGTGTTGCATGATGTGGGAACTGGATCCCATTGTTGTTCATAGTGACTACATCTATACCAAGTGTTTACTGCTTGAGGAACTCAGGCTCAGAGTTGATGAGCTGGAGTCTGAGCTTTGAACACTCTACCACATAAGGGAGAGGGGTGATACCTGGACACTGTGTTTCAGGAGGCAGTCTCACCCCTGAGACTGACTGCCTCAAATTCAGTCAGTGGTCAGGGACAGGAGGGTATGAATAAGACCGAGGCAGATAGAGGGAAACAGGAGTTAATGCTGAAGGAGCCTTAGCCCTTGAGTTTGTCTAACAGGTTTGAGATTCTTTCTCACTGTGTAGATCAAAGCGGGGGCTGAAGGGAAGATGAGCAAATGGATCGTAGCGTCATAGTGGTACAGACAGCTATTCAAGACAGGAGGGAAAAGAGAAATGTAGTTGTAATCAGGGATAGTATATTCAGGGGAATAGGCGTTGTCCTCTGTGACCAGGATCAAAAGTCCAAAAGGCTGTGTTGCCTGCCTGGTGCCCAGGTTCAGGATATCTCATCTGGGCTGCAGAGGAACTTAAAATGGGAGGGGAAAGATCTAGTCATCATGGTCCAATGGTATAGGTAGAAAGGGGAAAGTGGTTCTGCTGAGGGAATTTGAGTAGCTAGATGCTAAATTAAAATTCAGCAGTAGTTGGGATGTGGGCCAGAAAATAAGTCAGAAAATAGAAAAGGCTTGTAAGGAAGACCTATTGCAATAATTGTGGGGTTTCAATATGCAGGTGGACTGGCAAAATCAGGTTTGTAGTCGATCTGAAATAAAAGAATTGGTGGAATATCTGCAAGATTTTTTTTGGAGCAGCTTGTGGTAGAACCCATGAGGGAACAGACAGTTCTAAGTTGGTGATATTTAATGAGGTAGACTTAATTAAGGAGCTGAAGGTCAAGGAACCCCTAGGGATCAGTGACCATTAGGTGGTAGAATTCACCCTGCAGTTTGAGAGAGAAGCTGGAATCAGATGTAACAGTATTGGATTTCATCTGAGGGAATTAAGACAGGTTGCTAATGTGATTGAGAGAGATAGCAAGAACTGTAGATGCTGGAGTCAGAGATAACAAAGTATGACCTGAAATGTCAGCTTTCTTGTTCCTCTGATGCTGCGTGGCCTGCTGTGTTCCTCCAGCTCCACACTTTGTTATCTCTATTTATTACTAATGTGATCATGTGTTTGGTGTCAATTTTCCAAAGCTTCCCTAGATTCAGGAATGGGTCCATCAATTGGACTGTAGGAAATATAAACCCTCTATTCAAGAAGGGAGGGAGGTAGAAAAAAGGAAATTGTAGGCCAGTTAACTTGACCTCTGTCATGGGAAAATATTAGAATCAATGATTGAAAAAATTATAGCTGTGCACTTAGAAAAGCTCAAGGAAATCAAGAAGTCAGCATGGTTTTGTCGAAGGGAAATCAGGTTTAACCAATTTATTGGAATTCTTTGAAGGATGTGCTGTGGGTAAAGGGGAGCCTGCAGATATATTATACTTGGATTTTAGA